GAGAGAGAGAGAGAGAGAGAGAGAGAGAGAGAGAGAGAGGAGCTGCCAGGAGACTGCCTGTTGCCCTCTTCCCAGACCCCTCTGAGGTCACTTCCAGAGCCCACTCTTCCTCGAGGAAAAGCGGGCTCATCAAGAACGCAGCCCACAGCCCACAGCCCACCAGAAGGCCAGGCCGCCGCCGCTGGCCGGCAGTGACATCATAGACTCCTGCTCGCCAAGTTCGCGCCCACATTTTAGGATACAGGAACAAACACGGATGTGAAATCAAGAATGAAAGAGAGAGTAATCTAATTAATAGGCCATGAGCCAGGCTAACAAAATCAAAGAATCTGATTACACAAGTACCCCTCTTGCTATCTCCGCCTCCCCCCACCCCCTGCTCTTCCAGACTCCTCGCTATTTCCTTCCCTAGGCTGGAAAGTTCAGGAGGTAAACACAGAGCCCTCTGATTTCCTTATTGAAATCAAGATCAAGCCTATCCTGGGGCTCCCGCAGCCAAGAGGTCACATGGGTGACCTTCAGGCCCTGGGACTAAGAACCCCGAGGAATTGAAATGGCCATCCAAGCAAAGCAACCGAAAGCCAAGAGCTCTCTGGCTGGTCCAGTGAAGCCAGGGCCCCCCAACTCTCTCACGCACCACTGCTAACAACACCTGCACTCATTACTTCTGTCCTCTGTAGCGGGACCGGAGAAGGGGGGCTCCACCCTCGGTGGGTTTAAAAGGGTCTAAACATTTGGGTTGTTGTGGTTAAGCCTAGCACTACTTTTTTTCTCTCTTATCACCTGCTCGGGGTCACTGGAAGACTCTCGCCTGCCTTTCTCTTCCCTTCCCCAATGCAGAAATACAAGCACAGCCAGATGTTGGGGTTTTATCAGCGTCTGATCCCTACAGCCAGCCTCGTGCACTTCGGGGAAAGAACAATGTTCTTTAACAGCTTTCCATTTTAAGGGGGCGGGGGGAGCAGGCCCACATCCTAAATAACTAATTTCAAGACTTGTATCTAGTGCCAATACCTGTTGCTTTTATTTTAGAGTTGATTAATTACCCTGGAACTTGGGCAAACTAAACTCCATGTGGAGAGAACGTTTCTTCCTTCAATTTAGTTCTGAAAGCTACAAGTTATTGATGGCTCTTATTCTATTTACATACAAATTGGTGCAAATATGCCCATCTCTTTAAATGCATTTTGTATAGATATATAAAAGTGTCATTTTTGATTTAGCTTGAAGACGTTGATCATTTATTACAAAAATAAACGAATAAATACAACAATATATTGTTGTTTCCAACAGGATAAATACTTTACAAATATATAATTTAAAAAGCAAATTTAATTGTTAAAATTATTTAAAATATTACACTCATTGATAAAACTATGAAGAGTATATACTGCATTTGATATAAGAATCAATTATTCTCTGAATGTTGAAAACCATTCATACAAAACAGATCATGAGCATGGTAATGAGCAAACACTGGAGGCCACGGGGAAGCAAAGGGAATCTCTAAGATCAATAATGGACACTTCTATTTTTTTTTTTTTTAAGAAAAAAGAGAAATAATCCTTGGCTAATAATACTAAGGAGGAAAAAATGCAGAGCAATAACAGCAATGTGACTTATATTTTTAAATACAACTTGAATTATTTATTGGACAGAATTGTCAGGGGAGGATGACTGGGTGGATGAGGTGATCAAGGCTTGGTTAATGGCTCAAGAGCCGCAGTCTACTGTAAAGTACAAATGGGCCTAGTTTGAAACTAGCCAGGCTGATGGGACAGAACTTCGTCCCTTTCCTTTGGATTGGAAGGGGAGGAGAGGGATGGGCTGAAATGGAGGCGACAAATGGGCAATTTACGAAGCACAAGACGCTTGTGCCGCAAAAGAACACAATGACCAAATTCATTAAAAAGATCTGGTGATACGTAACAATATTTTCATTATTTACATGTGTAACAATATGAGCCTTAGCACAAAAATCTCTCACTTTATATCTTCTCTGTTGTGTTTCAACCGTGAAGTTCATTTTGTAAATACATTCAAAGGGTTGACTTTAAAAAAAGAAAGAAAGAAAGAAAGAAAGAAAGAAAGAAAGAAAGAAAGAAAGAAAGAAAGCGTAAGCACCAGCATATGTTACAAAATGCCAAAATGACAGACAAGCTACCTTGCTGGCACGGCTTCTTCACCCCTCAATCAAGGGCTTCTTCCAAAATAATCAGCAAAGGTTACTCCTTAATAAAAAATGGTGTAAAAAAAAATCTAATGTTAGCTCCCTTGTCCTCAGCTAAATCAAGTAAGTAGATACCTCCTGAAAATTTAAATAGACCCATTCCCCCATCTAATCAAGCACCATTATTACAGGAGGAAAACAAAACAAACCCCCTCCAGAAAAAAAAAAAAACAAAAAACAACAAAACAAAAAACCAACAACAAACCTTCAAGCTTCCTCTCACAAGCCAGTGATGTGCACCACCTACAAACAACCTGCCCTATCCCCAGTTTCCAGCCAGGCCTTCTTGGCTTACCCTTATGGTCCTTCAAACAACAACAACAACAACAACAACAACAACACCCAGAGAAAAATGATGAGGACCCTCACCCACTCCAAGTTGTTCCTAGGGAAGAGGGCAATAATGGTAGCAGGAGAAACAGAAAACAAGAACACAGAAGAAAGTAAAATGTAGCTTCTGATCGACAGCCCCCCTCCCCCGTTTAATAAATATGGCCTTTTTCAGATTTCACAAATCAGAATGATTGTGATTTTTTTTTAAGTACAATTTAATCCCTAAAATAATGCAACCCAATACATGGGTATCTGGCTGGGCTTGGTTTGTGCTACAGGGTCTGTCTGGGAGAAATAACTGTTCCTTAGTCTCATAGTTTCCCAGGATTTTTAAATCCCTGAATCTATATTGGAGGTGTGTGTGTGTGTGTGTGTGTGTGTGTGTGTGTGTGTGTGTCTATATTAGGTGACAAAATTAGGCAAAAAGTAAGTGGTAGCTGAGTGAGACTGGGGGAAACTCACATAAAATCACTGCTTTCTCACTCCCTCAGTATTTAAAAAAAAATACATACAATACACAGGGTCTCAACCAGCCAGAGGCTTTCTCATCTTTAGCACTCACACCCCGAGGCACTACATTTTCATTTTTCCATGTTGTAAATACTGATATATTAACTTGATAAATGTGACCAGTCTGCAGGGTCTTATCTAAAAAGTGACTTAAAAAGCTAAAGCCCTCAGCACTGGTATAGAAGATGAAGAATCATGCTTCCGGAGGACCAAACCACAGAAATGGGGAGCCCCCGAGTCTGAGCTGGTCACAATCGAAGTACAGAGTCCAGCAGGGCTCTGTACTGACTTCTTTCATGAAAAGAATACGAAAGAAAAGCAACCATAAGCTTAATAACTGAAATTTAATCACATATAGGTATCAATGGGAAGTAATTTATATCAAAATACTTCAATGATTTATAAGCTATCCTTCGCAACTATTGATCTTCGGGGGGGAAAAAAGGAACAGGGATGTATTGGAGGGTGAGAGAGAGAGAGAGGCTGAACTATGAGGGGCTGTATTTACCATGATTGACCTGGTGGCTATATTTTCAGTGGTGATGTAGCTAGCTCAATTATGCAATTCAAAACAGGTACCTTCAAGAAAATGGCTAGTAGTTATAGATCACTCAGTAAAAACACCAGAGACACCGAAACTTAGAGTAAGGAAAATATTGTGAGATTTATGGATCAGCAAGGAGCAAACAACCACTCTTGCTAAAGCACAGATGTTTTCAGCAACCCTAGCCTGCTGTGGAGGTTTCCAAACACACCTTTGTGTGGGGGAAGCTCTGCTCCCTCAATGCTATGACTTAAGGATCTGCATTAGTAAAAAAATATTTTCTAGAGAACTCTTTTCTTCCCACACAGTGTTGATGCATCAGACACAGACTATTTCATTCTAACAAATTTATTTTCTCAATCAGCTCTTACGGAATCACTACTCAAATTAAATTACAATCAAAGGATCACATCAAAAGATACCCTTATTACCTAACAACTGTCCATATTTTCATTTCATTTTGATTTGTGCTCGTCTGAAAAAAACACGTAATACAAGATCTGGGGAAAAATAAATTACCGTTTTGCAGCAGTTCATAAGTATTCTGAATAAAATATTAAAAGAAGTCATTTAATGAAAATATAAAGCAAATATTTTTAGATCAACAACGGATCTAACGATTCTATATTGCCGTCATTTGAAAAGTCTGTTTATTAAAACCTACCAAAAACACTGCTTGGAAATGGCAGTATTACATAATCACATCCGCAGCACCCATTCAATCAAAGTTGGCAACGGATTGAGGGCAGAAGTCAAGGGAAGTGCGGCGGCTGGTGCTGTCTTTCCACACCCTTTTATTCGGAGTCAGTCCAGAAATAAAAAATAAAAAAATGTTAATAAAAAAAATATTAGCGGTGGAATCTTTAGGCAGGGTCCACCCCGAGTGGCAGTCGGCAAAGCCCGGGTTCGGTGGCGGTGGCCTGGCCTCTCTGGGCCGGCTCATAGGCTGGGCCCTGGCCCTGGCTGCTGTGCCCTCTTCACTGGCGGCTGGATGCGCCTGGCCTTTTAGCCTCGCTCAGCCCGGGCTCTTTCGCGCTGCTGCTTTTATTTCCAAGGTTACTGCGAGGATGCTTTCTTTTGGCTTTCCTATTCAGTCTGTGAACTTCAGAAATTGTGACTCTCCCCCGCCCCTCCCCAGACTCTGTTTCTCCTTCCTTCCCATTTCATAGTTGACTTATTTGTTCCCCAAAGACTTTAATATGGCCAAGAAAAACACTGTCCTGGAGTAGAGTCAGACCTGGACGAAACCTGGTGCCGTCTTTCTTTTCAGGTCGCTCCCAATAAAGTTTCCATGGATCTTTTAGGCAGCCCTTTTGGAAGAAGTGGAAGGAAGGGAGGGGGGTGTCTCTCTTGTCTCAGAGGAGAGGAAGAAGCAGGTGTTCTCCACCGACGCTGCCGTGAAGGACATCTCAGGGTGGACAGTACCTCAAGAGTGCAGTTTCGGTGCGTTAGGCATCTTCAACCTTCTTTCAAAACAGAAACAAAACACCACCAGAGTATAAACGAGATGTCCCGGGTGCCCCCTTTCCTTCTTCTTCCGGTTTTGTTTGTTATATATGCATATAAAACAGTCTTGGTATTTATTATGCTTTATTTTTTTTTTTTTTTGGTCCCTCCATCCTTGGACTTCAAAAAGAGTCTCCTCGGTCGGTGTCTCCCCAGTCGTTCTCCTCCCTCCTATGGGCCGTGGCACGCCTGTCTTTGGGCGGAGGGGAGGCGGCCGAGACGCACTGGCCCGGGCCAGGTGCTGGGTCTGCGCGGCGGCAGCGGCGGCGGCGGCGGCGGCGGCGGCGGCGGCAGCGGCGGCGGCGGCGGCAGCGGCGGCGGCGGCGGCGGCGGCGGCGACCGTGGCGGTGCTGACAGCGGCTGCGGAGGTGGCGGCGGCGGCCCTCTTCGCGCTGCGCGCCCCCCGGGCCTTCACTGCACGCTGGTCTGCAGCCCGTGGTGCGGCGGCGGCGTGTCAGCGCTCACGGTACCCACCTGCGAGTAGACATCGTCCGGCGTCTGCTGCTGGATGCCCGGGGGCGTCATGCGTTTCTCTTTTTGGCGCCGGTTGCAGAACCAGACCCGCACGACCTCCTTTTCCAGCTGCAGGCTGTCGGCCAGGTTGGTGATTTCCTGCGCCGAGGGTTTAGGGCACTTGAGGAAGTGGCTCTCGAGCGCGCCTTTGACGCTCACCTCGATGGAGGTCCGCTTCTTGCGCTTGCGGCCCTGGGCCGCGATCTTGTCGATGCTCGTGGGGCTGCCGGTGCTCGAGTCCGCCTCCTCCAGCCACTTGTTCAGCAGCGGCTTGAGCTTGCACATGTTCTTGAAACTGAGCTGCAGGGCCTCGAAGCGACAGATGGTGGTCTGCGAGAACACGTTGCCGTAGAGCGTGCCCAGAGCCAGCCCCACGTCGGCCTGGGTGAAGCCCAGCTTGATGCGCCGCTGCTTGAACTGCTTGGCGAACTGCTCCAGGTCGTC